CTGCATCTGCAACTCACATAATTTTACCCACATTTTGTGCCTCCTCAAAGATCCATCGTACATATCTATTATCTATCTATTTGTTCTATTATATAAAGCACACAACTCAGAACGATTTTGAAGCTTTGTCACATTTTTTTCTTTTCTTTTGAGAATGACCTTATTGTTAACTGCTCAGTAAATAACTGACTGCCAACAGTTTTTAAGTTCAACCCATATTTCTCATTCATCAAATGGCCAAGAAAATTAAATAAAAAATTGCAAACGTGCGTTTGCATTCACCACTAGTTATATAAAGTGTACAACCCATTTGGTGTGAACATTTTCTGTTTTCTGAAACTTGATTATACCTTCTTCTTCTTTTTTTTTTTTCCTAAGCATATGATCATAAAATTCTTAACTCCTAACACTTTCTTTTTCAAAATTATAATTATGTTAATTTAAAACTTCACATCCAGTAAATAACTGCTAAATGATTTTCAAATTCAACCCATCTTCCTCATACATCAAACCACCCAAAAATTAATATGTAAATTTACCTTTGGTTTGGTGGTGTTGATTATTACGTTCTGGTCTCCGGCTTGCCCGTGAAGAAACGGAGCGTTGGTAATCGCTGTCCATATTCACTCGCGAATTCTCATCATATCAAACAAAACATACAAACCCTACATCAAAACAAAGAATGGTAATTGTTCAATGTGACATCAAATAAAGTTGGATCTTTCTTCCAATCACGACAAATAAATAAATAAAGAAAACAAAAACTACAATGATAATAAGTGCCAGATCTGGGAAACTAATACAATCAAAATCAATGTATTTTTCTTTACAAGCCATTGAAAAGTATAAAAATTACCAAGTAGATGATAAGTGATAGACTGAGAATTGGATGTTTTTCTGGGTTCACTACTCTCTTCTCTTGAATGAATCCTGAGACTGAGAAGGAAGAGAGAGAGAGAGAGAGAGAGAGAGAGAGCAGTGATGATCCAAGCAAGAATTCCAAATTCGAAGAAAGAAGAGGATTGATTAAAACGACGTCGTAATATCACTGGACCGACATTGCAGCGTTTAAAATGACAAATATGCACCTATGGTGCTGATTAATTTACAAGGACTTGTTTGGCTAACAAGGAACTCACCTCTTCCATAGCTTGTTTTTCCAACAGATAAAATACTGGCGGTCCAAATAAATTGAGAAAGTTTCTCGATTACAATTAGGGCAAAATCATATTCAGTTTGATCAACCCCAAATTCGAAGCGCTCTCTCTACGGTGACAGCTCCGGCGACCGGCCAGTAGCCAAATTCAGGTACGCGCAGACAAGTTCTGCGGAGGCCGGCGACTTGCTGGAATTTTGTTTTGTCAAATTTGTGATTTGCGTGCTAAATTCTGTTGGTGGTGATGCTTGATGTCTGTCATTCAGTTGGTTTTTTTTTTTTTAACCGGTGTCCGAGTTAACTTATCGATATGATTATGCGGGTTGTTTGAACAGAGATTGTGTAATTCTTAATCAATTAAGGATAGAGAGTGAGAAAAAAGACAAGTCTTCAGGTGATGTGGGAAAAAAAAAAATGTATACATTTAAGAAGAATGGTAACTCTTAACTAAGTTTTACATTTTAAAAAAGAGTAATGATATATACATAAATTTTTTTGTATAGAATAATGTGATTTATTTTTGTTTTTTCATTTTTAATTGAAACACCCACTATTATTTTAAGAATTTCAAACAATATCATAGACACATCATCTTGGATATGTCTTTTTTAAAACAAATTTTCTGTTTATAAATTATTTTGACACCATCATATTTGTTTTTTAACAATTTTAGCGGTGTCAATTTACTTAAGTTTTTCCAAAATTTTACACAATACTATAATTTTAGTGCTGTCAATTTACAAAAGCTTTTCCAAAATTTTACACAATACTAGTGTATAATTTTCTAACTAGAGAATGCATAGGTCTGCCCCTGGTTGTTAAATGGCTTTGTTTGTGCAAAAAAAAACTAGGGTTGTGTGCATTTAAAAAATATGAATTTGAAAATGTATAGATTGGTGAATAAGTCGGATCTTCTAAAAGGGCTTGTGTAATAACCCTCACCACTGATTACCGTTAAACTGAACTGATAATGACTGATAATTGAACTGATTAAAGTACTGAACTGACTGACTGAAAACTGGAACTGAATTGACTGAGTATGTATGTTAATTTGTATTATATCTGTTTGATTGATTATTCATCTGTTCATGTTTTATGTTTAAACTGCTAATTGAAGGCCTTATCGGCGGCCGAAACAGGAATCGATTGAGGTTTCATGACCCTCATGATTAATGTGATTTTATGGTGTATTTACCTGAAATTTGATTTAGTATGATGAAATTAGATTAAAATGAGTTAATTGCAAAGTTGACTTAATTACCAAACTAACCCTAGTGGTCCACTATCTCACACACATTTGAGCCTTACACTTGATCATAACATAACTCCTTCAGCCTTTCTTCTTAAGCCTTAGCCGACCAAGAGAGGGAGAGAGTGAGAGAATTGGATTCCATCTTTTGCTTGCTAATTGAAGAAATTGAAGGTTGATCGTTAATTTGAGCTCCTAAATCTTGAATACAAGACTAAGGTAGGAAACTCATCTTCCTATTGTTGCCATTGAGCTAGTTCTTGCATGATTCATGCTTCATTGTAGAACTAAGTCATGTTTTGGTTCATTGTTGTTGAATTGAAGCTCAATCCTTGCATGCATGGTTGTATTGTAGATGTTGAGTTGTTTTCATGGCAAAATGTTACATGCATGTCCACAATTATGTTTAAGTCCATGATTTCATCATGTTTTGGAAAAAATTGGCTCCTTAGAGCATCAAATTGAAGCTTTGAATTTATTTGAATTCATGCATGTTTGCATGTTCATCCTGTTCTTGAAAATGGTTTGAAATTGGGTTTGAATTAAACACCCTTGGGCTTTGATTTCTCAAATTGAGTTTTGAATCATGTTTAACTATGTGTTTACAAATGGTTTCTGGAAATTCAGCCCAAGAGGTCGAGTTTTGAGTTGTTAAAACTTGGTTTTTGGCTTGGAGGTGCAATATGGGTTTTCCAGATTTTGCACTTCCGCTCGAGCGGGGACTAATGATGCTCGAGCGTGGAATCCGAGCATCCAGTATTTTCTCTGCACTGTTTTACAGTCCGCTCGAGCGGAGGATTGGGCGCTCGAGCGGAGGCATGTGTCTCACGATCGAGCGGGCGTCGAGCGTCCGTCGAGCGGAGATTTCACCCATCCAGTAACAGTACGCTCGAGCGGGAAAGTTGACGCTCGAGCGTGTACCTTTGTTGCATGACCGCTCGAGCGGGGAAACCGCGCTCGAGCGGTACTCTGTTTTTCTGAAAAATCTGAAAATGCTTTTAACCGTGCATCTTTGCATCCTCATCCCATTCTAGGCACTCTTAGGCCTAGTTTAAGACATCTTCATGAGGATATAGATGTAGAGCACACCGAGGCAAATTAGGGATTAAGTTATTATCTTTCCCAGCTGTGTAGCTTAGTGTGTTCAATCTGTTAACTGTGTAGGGTTGGCGACTGGGGAGGCACGCTCTAGCATACTGTAGCCCAAACTCTGTGAGTAACGATTGTGTAAAGATATGTTCACAAATGATTATCTTCTGAACAACTGAACTGTACTGTTTTTTGAACTGATTACTGTTAACTGAATGAATGTATGTCCTATATTCTGAATTGTATTGTGGCATCCTTAGCACCTACTGTTTACTGTTACTGTGACAGAAATCTCTGTCGGTTCCCTTGTTGGAACCACTACTGTTTACTGACTGATGGCCATCATTACTGTTCGATCTTTTAAGACCTACTGTTATGCTAATGGATGTACCACATATGACTGTGCTGACTGAACGACTGAAATACTGTTTAAATGGACTGTTTTCATTACTGTAAGGACATTCATTCTTAACCCCTTTACGCATTATGTTATTCACTGGGCTTTAGCTCACTGCTCTTATATATATGTAGGTGTTCAGGCACCAGACCGCGGCTAGGAGCGTCAGAGTTACTCCAGTTTTGTCAAGCCAGCCTATGTGCCTCACTGCAAGGTTCCGAGCCTATCGTGTTAAGGCTTAGGGGTGTTTTACAATTCCCCCTTCTGTACTGTCTTACTGTTTTGTATAGACCGAATGCTTACTGTACTGTGATGTGAAGGGTTGAGTCCCTAGTCTGAATGATTGTGCATTTTGTGCATACTGTTCTGTACTGATTATGTATATATGTATGAAAGTCTTTTTGCATACAGACTGTCACAGCTCATTGGACATTGTTTAATTACTGTTTTGGCTTCCGCCAGGCCCTGTACTCTGTTTTACTGTTCTTCTATTCTGCAGGCCTTCGGTAATCTCGGATTACTGGCCGGTTACGGTGCTAAACTCATAGGGCCGGGTTTGGGTCGTGACAGCTTGAATGTACAGTCAAATTTTCATTCACCAGTTGAGATGGTTATATGCCACGTTTTGATCTCTATATTCCTAGATTAATAGTTAAACTGTTGCTTTATGCAATGCAATTATGTTTCATTACTTTAGAAAACAGGATTTTTTGTTTGGTAAAATTCTTAGTTTCCTAGATGAATTGTTAAATAGTGATTTTATTCAAGGCAGTTTTGTTTCAATAAATCATGTTATGGTTGAATCCGTAACCCTCGACTGGTTGCGGTTCTGGGTTTAAAAACATTGACCTCTATTCTGGTTGTTTCCTCGCCTCCTAGAGCCCCAGCACCCCCTCCCCGCCACAACAACACTAGTGATAAGTGATAACATGTCAGGGTTCTGAATTACCTCTGCAATAATTTCTCAATTATACGTATGTGAATTTTGCGTATGAATGTGCATGAAGATATACATATATACATATAAGATTGATGTTAAGTGAGCACAGTTTGTTTGTCTTGCAGATGGAGCAAGAAGTCATTGAAGCAGATATAGTGTTGCCCACTCATCTTAGTTTCAAAAAGGTTCAGATGTATGAGAAGTACCCGAAGGGACAAGCGAGGGGAAGGCACTGGAAACATCTCAAGCAGATCATCCAAGCTGAAAATTACCAGAACTATCCCCCTGATGAATCCAATTGTGAGTTCTGAAAACACATTCTATTGTACTTTTTTCTTTCTAGTTAGTCCCTTTCTAAAAGCTTAGACTGACATTTCATGTCAAGCCTTTAAACTTTGAGTGAGATTACTTTCGGAAAGTTGTTGTCAAACTTTCCTTGATGGAATTTTTAGCCCTTATGTTCATCTTGTTTGCAGATGTTAATATAGAATCACCACCCTCTATGCATCCATGCAAAAGAATTTGTGACATAACAGGATATGAGGTATGTCGCATTCTTCAAAAGATGTGGTTATTGTTATTTCTTTCCGCTTCATGGGAATATATGCTAAAGTTGGTTGTTTGATGTAACTGGAATTGTGCTCTGCGCATTTCAACATGGTTCCATTATTCTTGAATGTTTTGTTCTGCTTCTCCAAGTAGGGTATAAATTAGTTTAGCTGACTATATGACAGTTTTTTTTTTTTTTTTTTTTTCGGCAAAATCTCCCAAACACCCCCAATACTCCACCCCTCCCAAACCCACCCAAACACCCATGCCCCTACTAGGGCTTGAACCCCCAACCTCCCCTGTGAAGTGTTTGGGTGATGCCACTAGGCCACAATGCCATTGGCCCTAAAGTTGGTTGTTTGATGTAACTCGAATTGTACTCAGCTCATCTGTATCCTGTCAAAGTTTTCTTTTTTCAGTTTAGCTGTGCTTATGCTTGTTTACAAGTCTAATCTAGCAGTACACTAGCTTAGACATCCAGAGATAAAATACGGATGTTAAAAACAGCAAACCAATTCTCCATCTTTGTTAATATAGAAATGGCATTATGCAATCGATGATAGAATGATCTTCATGATGACTTGAAGTTTAGAAAAGAGTGCTTGTTATGTCAAATCTGGATGAGGAACTCAACTGTTCCTAGCATTGCTCATTTCAGAATTAAAATAACAAAATCACAAGACAAGAAGAAAATTGAACCCTATTATTCTATGATACAGTCGAAACTTATTTTTAACTATATCGTTTGAGATAGAAATTGTACTGGAGAAGATGAAATAGGTAAGACTTTTGGACTAGATGGCTATTAACTTATTAAGGCTTGAAAATACTTAGGTGTGGAGGGGGTGTCTTGGTTAACAATGACTAAAATGAAATATATTTTATGTTACAGAAAGTTATAATATATTATCCACTGGTTTCAAGCAAGCCTGGCCCTGAGATTTCTAGGGCCCAAAACCGATAATCAACTAGTAAATTTTTGGGGTTCTTCACATTTTTTTGTTTCATTGAATGAAAAATAAAAAATTGAAAGTAAAGGACAAAAGATTTGTGTCAAAATCACAAAAAACACTTAGCATTACATTACAATAACTAATAAGTATCGCTTAATCCTCAATCTTCTTGTATTTTTCAAAGCAAATAAATCAATCATACTTGCATAATCTAATTTTTTTGCAAAATCATTTTCAATGAATAACAGTGTTAATTATTTTAAATGGACCTTTCAATTTTTTAATGGATCAAATTATTTTAAGTTAATTTGGGCCTTCCTTAATTTTTTTTGGACTTAAAATATACTTAATATATTAGACTAAACTATAATAAGAGACTCGTTTTTTGGGTCTATTTTCAATGGATAACAATACTAATTTTTTTGAATGGCCTTTTAATTTTTTAATGGGTTAATTTATTTTTAGTTAGTATGGGCTTTTTTAAATTTTTTTAGACTTAAAACATACCTAATTTATTACACTAAATTATAATAAGTGGGGTCCTTTTTTTTAGTCTTTTTTGAGGGGCCCTAGGCCATGGCCTTGTGGCCTATGCCTCAAGGCCGGCCCTGGTTTGAAGCCATCTCATCTCATTACTTTTGGTATTAATTGTTTTATCCACCATTGTTTCTAAATGAATGGGGACAATTTTTAATTTCACATGCAGGCACCTTACTATGATCCAAGGACTAACCTCCGCTATGCAAATGCTGATGTGTTCAAGCTCATAAGATCACTTCCTAATGAGTATGTTCAGAGGTATCTGTCTCTGAGAAATGCGGCAGTCGTTCTGAAGTAACTTCCAATGGTGTCAATGAAGCCATGGATGGGCAGTGCATTTTTCTGTAAATTAATTATTATGAAAATTTGAAGTAGGTCTTACATGGAGTTTGTTTTTGTTTCTTTATGGGCCACTTGGTGTAATGTGTGTTAATGAGAGAAATTTTAGAGCATTATTGACAGATGTGGTGCCTAATGAGTAATTGTGCTGGTTAGTGAGATGATATGGTGTCGGATTTGTTAGTTTGCTTTCGGGTCAAATGGTCTCATTGTAAAAGGCTGTTTTGTTAGCAGGTCATGCTTGATTTGTGAATGGATTGATATGATACCATGCCTCTAGAAGACTCATTTGCCGATCTTACCCCAGCCATTTGACTGATAATGAGTCTGTTTAATGTCGTATTCATCAATTTAAGCAGGCTTGCTCAAGGAAAGAATTCACGCCCACTGCCCAGTGTAGTTCTACCACTGTGTCTGACGTTTGAATCTTCGTTGGTGTCCAAGCTTAAAAAGGGGGTGGCTAGGCATTCGAATCCAAAGTCTGGTGTGCACCCTAATATGGTTGGGGATACAGCAAATTGTGGTTGCTGACCACATTGTCATATCAGGTCACATCAAATTGTAACTTTAATTACACTGGCTGATTTGAGTATGGTTTTTTTTTTATTTATTACAGAAAGGCAGACGTATAAATAGATAAAAAAAAATGATGTAACAAAAAAAAAAGTCAATAAATAGTTTATTTGATTTGTTCTCAAGCAATTCTATTTTTTAATTTAAAAGTTAAAAAATCATTAACATAATTAAGGGTCAATTACGCCCAATGAGAAAAAGATTGGGAGTTCTAAATATAGAGCTCTGAAGGAGCTCTAATAAGCTGATTTTCACCCATGATATGATATTTGTGCTTTGTTTTTTGTTTTTTGTTTTTTTGGGGGAAATTTGGCTGTAAATCCCTCTTACTTTCATTTTATTGTTAAAAGGATTAAGAAAAAAATTATATTTTTAAAACTCTCTCATAATTATAAAGTTTTGTATAAAGGACAAAATTTATTATTTAAATATTTATCAGATTATTATATCCTTAACTAAATCTTTCTTAATCACTATCTCAATCTCTCAAGCTTCGTCCGATACACCTATTGCTTATACATAGACGATAATGCCATGGCTAGGGTTTCAAGTCATCGACAGCTAGGAAGGTCTCTTAGCCAAAAAGATCTATCAAAAAACCATGACGGCAATCAGTATTTTGCACTAAGTGATGATGAAGCAAGAGATGGTCATTCTAGTAAAAATATGATTGAGAAGACAATTCGGGCAGTTTATATGCAGGAAAAGGCGAAGCATCCTTCTGGGGATGATGTGAATAGTGGGTTGTATGAAGCAATGCGGAAAGAACTTAGATGTGCTGTTGATGAAATCAGGATGGAACTTGAACAAGCCATGGATAGAAAAACCTCTAACGACTCTCTCTCATACGACCACTCTCCCAAAGAGAGAGAGAGAGATTGATTGTTGTTTTCAATTGGCTTTTTTTTTTTAAATTTTTTAATAGATCTAAGAGTAAAATTTGAATCTGATTCGTTCATTTAGTACGTATTTTACTTTTTGTAATAGTAAAATTTTATTTTAGTTAAAAATATGTTGATTTGCTTAATAATATAAAATTTTACTTTGAATCATAGTAACTTTACTTTGATTTAGAGTAAAATTATACTTTCAGAATAAAATTTTACTCTAAATCCAAGCAAAGTTTACTCTGAATCAGAGTAATAAATTTTACTCTGATTCAGAGTAAAATTGTACTTTCAGAGTAAGAGTTTACTCTAAACCAGAGTTAAATTTTACTCTGAAATACACTGTGAGAATGACTTAATAAGAGAGTTGATAGATATGAGAGTAGTATAGTAAAATAAACAAATTTTAAAATATTAGGGAGTTTTGAAAATACCTATATAATTCTTGTCATTTTAAAAGACAAATTAGACAATAAAAGGTCTATCACCAAATTCCTTTTTTTTTTCACTTTATTACATTATAAAACTCAAATTAGAGTTGTAAATTTTAAAATCTGTATCATTTCCCTTTTGTTTATGCATCAGTGGAAACTGTTTTGCAGTTTCAGCAAAGTTGAAGAGTTCAAACTCTTTCTATGCTCGCTCTCTCCTCTCCTGTCTTTCTTTTCCCTCTTGTCTTATCCACCATCACTCTCTCTCCCCTTTGTTCTCTCTCTCACTCTCACGGTCTCTCTCCCCTCTTCCGTTTTTTGATTTTCATTTTTAGGCAAATTATACTAAATAATCCTGTGATATGGGGATTATATCACTTTAATATTTGACATTTTAATTATAATATATTTGATTTTAAATTTTGAATGTCGTTTTAAATAAAGAGAATTGAAGATACTGTTATTCTATTTCAAAAATAAAGTTATTAATATGATAAAATATAAATTAATTTGATAAAAATAAATATTAAAAAATTATTTTTGAATTTTTAAAAATTATTTTTACTCACCAAAAATAAAATTATATAAAAATAATAAATCTTTTACTTTTTTATTTTTTTACCAAATTAATTTTTCGTATGTGTTTTAATGATGATCATGTAATAGGTGATTGTTTTTGTTTTTTTTAGATGGTTATAATGTAATAGATGATTATATTTGTTATTAATAGATATTTTTGTATGATTATTATGTAATGGATGATTATTTGAATTTTAGTATGTAATTGATATGTTTAATATATGAAATGTTTTTAGTTTTGGATTTTTTGATTTAATGAATTGGTTTAATAATGATATCAAAATTGTTGCCATGCTTGACTTTTGAAAAAATAGAAACTAATTTAAGAAAAATAAATATCAAAAAATATATATTTTAAAAAATTATTTCTACCCTCTCAAAAGATAAAATTATATAAAAATGATTTGTTTTTAATTTTTCTTCACCAATTTAATTTTTAGTTTTTTAGAAAATATTTCTGAAAACCAAACCAAATAGAACTTTATAACTAAAAAAGTTTCAACATTATTCATTAAAAAAAAAAACTATTACATTCAGGCCTCGTTTGGGAACAAGTTATTTTAATAACTTTTTGATTTTTTAGCTAAAATATGAAGTAAAAAAATTATTAGTATGTTTGGGATGACTTTTTGATTTTTTACGAAAAGATGTGCAAAAAATAGGGAGAAAATGAGAACTTTAATTTTTTGATATAGGTTATTAGTTTTTTGATTTTTTAGTAAATTTTTGACTTTTAGGTTAAAAAGTGATGTTGTCAAACGAGACCTCAATTAACATACAAGTTAACCAGTAAAAATAAGTTGTATGACGACTTTACCCTTGAAATTGATCGTTTGTAAATGAAATATCTTTGATTGTCCTTATTTGAAACAATATTCAAAATTCAGGATCAAATGTATCACAATTGAAAAGTCATGGACCAAAGTGACACAAGTTTCAAATTACAAGAACTGCTAATATAATTCGCCCCTTATTTTTTTAATAAATGCATATAATTTTTAATAGTAGGAAAATGTTATTTGTAACATTAATCATAAAATGCGTAACTTTATCACAAATTAACGCAACAAAATGTCTATAATTTTATGGTTAATGTTACAAAAGTTTGTGACTTTATTTATGACATTTTTTATTACGTCATTTTGTAATGAAATTACATTTTATAGTAAGAATGCATATGATATATACCCCTAAACGGGTGCACACTATAATAGAACCCTTTTTAATATATAAATTTAATTTTTATAAAATTGATATCTTTAAAAAAATATGAACGATATCTTTAAAATGAGATTAAAGGCAAGTTTAGTAATAAACTATTTTGGCAAAAAAAGGCAAAAAAACAACTACAAAAAGTTAATTCTTTTCTCTATTTTACTATACTTTTTTTATGTAAAAAAGTAAAAAATCAATTAAAATAATTAGTTCCCAAAATAATACTAATATAAAATATATAAATTAAAACAATATAAATAAAAATAATAATTTATAATAAATAAATAATATACATTTTATTTTTATAAAATTAGTACCATTGACAAAAAAAATATAAAATATTCATAATTTTTAGGATAAATTACAAACATATCCCCTTTAAATTTACTTAAAATACAAATTACTTATGTGATTGTAGATAATATATTTGTGATAATTGGTTATGGTCACTCATTTAAAAATTACAACCTTTTGATGAATGTACGCTGATGAGGTTGTAATTCCAACGAAAGATGGGTCGGACTGATCCACACTTCTAACGGCTTTGCTGGTCTTGGAGCCCACAGAATGTGCCTGCAAAAAGGTCCAAAGGGGGAGGTAATCCCCCGGTGAACCCTCTGGCGATCGAGTTAGAATATGATAGATTGATTGTGTAGAGAGAGAAGAAGTGAACTAAGAACTTAACCTTTTTGGCATCTCGAAAGCTTCCTTATATCCTTTGCTTATCATTTCCTTATCCTTTCCATCCTGTCTTGTTGGCCGAAAGTCTATATTTTAGCCTGTATCGTTCATGGTGAGTCTGCATCCTTCGGCGTGGAGAGGTTGTCGCATTTAATGCTACCAGGACCTCATTGATAGCCGATGTATGGGTGCAATAACTTTGTAGGATCTTTGTCTGCCTTCATAGTTGATTCATTGCCTGATATGTGTTTGAATGCTATTGGTCCTGCTCCATTATTGGTTTTTCAAGGTTACTGGGCTTTAATATCCAAGCCGTGGGTTGGGGCCTGTGTCCAAACCGTGGGCTGGGGCTTGTGTCCAAACCGTGGGCTGGACCCTCTTGGAGGCCCATCAGTATCAGTAGTCCCCCAGTCCCGAGTACAACTTTAGCCTAACGAATAGAGTAGTTGGGGCGGAGGTAGTCCTCCAAGCCTAGTGACCGATCGTAAGGTGGGGCGAGCCGCGAGGGTGACTGACCAGGATGTGGGCTGACCGAGCAAGGTGACCGACCGTAAGGTGGGCCGAGGGAGGTGACCGACCAGGAGATGGGCTGACCGAGCGGAGTGACCGACCATAAGGTGGGCCGAGAGAGGTAACCGACCGTGAGGAAGACCGATCGGGAAGGGGACTAAGCGTGAGATGACCGACTGCAAGGAGGGCCAACCGCGAAGGGAACCGAATGTGAGATGACCGACTGCGAGGAGGGCCAACCGAAGAGGACCGAACGTGAGATGACCGATCGCGAAGAGGGTCGGTCGCGAGGTGATTGAGTGTAATGACCGACCGTGAGGTGGTACAAGAAAGGTGACCAATCATGAGGTGATCAAGCATGATGATCGACCGTGAAGTGGTCTGAGAGAGGTGATCGACCGTGAGGATGGCC